CACTCTCCTCTTCACATGTCCACTTCTCCGATTCACCCCACTGCCTCCCCCCCCACCCCCAGAACCATTTCCAGCATATGTAATAGCTCCTGAACCTACGCAACATTGAACTAGAGATTCCACACTTGTTAGGAACTTACTGCCTCAGTGATTTTAAATTAGCTGAGTATTTCTTTGTTGATCATTTCAAACTATTCTCTTTCCTTTGCAGCCCTCCCTTGCAGGCTGTCTCCCTACCTTCTCTTGAAACCACTCACTCCCCTAATCTCCTTTGCTGCCTCCCTCTCTACCCACCCCTTTTAGGAACATAGGAACAGGAGTAGGCCATTCAGCCCCTTGAGCCTGTTCCACCATTCAATGAGATCATGGCTTCTCTTTGGCCTAACTCCATATACCTGCCTTTGGCCAGTATCCCTTAATATCTTTGCTGAACAAAACTTATCTATCTCAGATTTAAAATTAACAACTGATCGCACATCCATTGCAATTTGTGGAAGAGCATTCCAAACATCTACACCCCTTTGTGCGTAAAAGTACTTCCTAAACATCTCTCCTGATGGTCTGCTGCTAATTTGCAGATAATACCCCTAGTTCTAGAATTTCAAACCGGTGGAAATAGTTTATCTACTTTATCTTTTCTTGCTAATATATTGAAGATTTTAATCAGATCACCCCTCACCCTTTTAATTTGTGGAGGAAACAGGCCTAATTTGTACAGTTTCTCCTCATAACTGAACCCCTGAATTCCAGGCATCATTTTTATTACCAGCCTCATTCTCCGCCACCACATTTGCAACCCCCTTAGCCATCGTGTAGTTTTCTCTTCCTCCAACACCTCTTGCAGATTCCTCCACCTCCACCTCTTTTGCAGCCTCCACTTCCTCCATTCTTGCAGTTTCCATTTCTGCCACTGCACACCGCGCCCCCACCACCCCATAGCCTATTTCTCCTCTCCACCCCAGCTACAACCTTCGTCTCCCTTCATCCCATCAAAGCTGGCTTCCTCAAAACACACAGTCCGCAGCAAAACAGTGATTCCAGCTCCCTCAGTGACTGTCACCACTTACTTTCCTGGCTGCTCACGTTCCCTCCAATCATAGTGTGTTGATCTCCCACATTTGCTGATGATAGGTTCACTTGTCGTCCTATCAGCAGCCAGCATGGCAAAGGATCACACTGTGAATGGAGGAGCGGCTCCTCACTAATTTTGTCAATTTTACATGTGGGAGCGATTTTCTGTCACGGATTGCCTCCGTGGTTGAATTTCCCTGAACGTTTGATGACTTTTGTGCAACAATTCACCTACTGCTCCTTGTATTCTGAGCCCTGGTACACATCGACCTGACCTAGAAATGTATCTTTGTTCCTTCATTGTGCCTTAGGCAAAACACTGGGAATCTGTCTGTAACCTGCACAACACTGACAGCAGTTTCCTGTAAAGATTGTGTATTGTGTTTCACTGACTTTTCAAGGAAAACTAAGGAACAGACAATAAGTGTTGGACTTGCCAGGCGCTCACACCGTGCGAACAAATATAAAAATAATGGACCGAACAGTTCCAATCCAAATCTTCCTTTTCCTACCTGATGGGCTGTACAGTATATTGGCGGCTGGGAGTCTTTCCCTGGATGTGTAATTCCTGCTGTCAGCTCCCCTCATCCACAACTAATTGGACTGGGCCTCCTGATAAGATAATTGGGTAGCTAGCTAGCTTCAACAATTCTCAGCAGCAAAACCTATCCCAAGCATCCTTTTTAACGTTTTTAATGTGTATTCATTAATGAGATGTGCCATCGCTAGCTAGCGCAGCAATTATTGCTCATTCCTAATCGCCCTTGAGAAGGGGATGATTTTGAACAACTGCAGACTGTATTGTGTGGGTATACTCACGGTGCTGTTAGCAAAGGAGTTCCAAGAGTTTGACCCAGCAACAGTAAAGGAACAAGGATACCCCATGTACAGTGCCAGGTCGGGATGGTGTGTGGCTTGGAGGGGAATTTGCAAGCACTGATGGCCTCATGCACCCACTGCCTTTGTCCATCTAGATCGCTGGTTTGGAAGGTGCTGTCGAAGGAACCTTCATGGCTTGTTGCAGATCTTGTAGACAGTACACACTGCTGTTGCTGTGCATCGGTGGTGGAGGAAATTAATATTTAAGTTGTTAGATGTTAGTTTGCTTTCTGGTCAGTGGTAACCCCCATAAGAACGTATGAAATAGGAGCTGGAGTATGCCAGCTGCCCAAGTCTGCCCTACCATTCTGTAGGATCAAGGCTACACCTCTTCTTTCATTTCAGCTCATCTTTGCCCTCAACTTCTCGATATTTCAACAATCTATTTATCTTCTCTTTAAGTGCTTTCAGTGATCTGGTTTCTACTATCTCAGGAGTACAGACTTTCAGATAATCACAACCTCTTGGAGAAGAAATTCCTTCGCATATCATTCTTAAATGAGTATAGCCTTAATTTATAATTATGTTCCCTAGTTCAAGATTCTCTCAGCCATGGAAACATCTTCTCAATATCTACCATATAATACCCCCTCAGAACTTTGCATGTTTCAATCAGATCTCCCCTCATTCTTTTAAACTCTAATGGATAAACCTGTTTAACATTCTTGTTAAGTCAACACCTTCAATGCAGGAATCTACGCAGTGAATCGGTTTTGAACTGCCTCCAGTACCAGTATAAATTTCTTTAAAAATTGGGACGACTACTGTACATCGTATTCTAGGAATAAAGGCAGCCAGGTCTTTTCCCTGCAGTGGGGGAGTCCAGAACTAGAGGGCATAGGATTAAGGTGAGAGGGGAAGATTTAAAAGGGACCTAAGGGGAAACTTTTTAACACAGAGAGTGGTGCATGTATGGAATGAGCTACCAGAGGAAGTGGAGGAGGCTGGTATAATTACAGCATTTTTGAGGCATCTGGATGGGTGTATGAATAGGAAGGGTTTAGAGGGATATGGGTCAAATGCTGGCAAATGGGACTAGATTAATTTAGAATTTCTGGTCAGCATGGACGAGTTGGACCGAAGGCTCTATTTCCATGTTGTACAGCTCTATGACTCTATGACACAATTTAATTTGCCTTCTTAACACCTTTTTGCAAATGGATGCTACTTTTTTGTCTTTGATGCGCAAGAGCACCAGACCTCCCTGTGTTGCTGTGTTTTGGAGTCTTTCATAATTGAAATCATAGTCTATCTTTTGATGCTTCCTATCAAAGTGATAATCGGATACATTTCCTACACTAAATTCCATCTGCCATATTTTTGATCAAAGTCAGAAATCACACAACACCAGGTTATGTTCCAACAGGTTTATTTGAAAACACAAGCTTTCGGAGCCTCAGTCCTTCTTCAGATGTAAGTGAGAGAGGTAGTATCAGACACGGAATTTATAAGTAAAAGATCAAAGGTTCACACCATTGCTGAGGATGTACTAAACAAACTCAAGATGTTGTTAAATCTTTAATCACTTAGAAGGTTTTAATTGATTAATATGTATATGTAAATCCCCAACTTCCTTTCAAGTCACGGTCCTGAGAGAACTGAAGGTTTTATCAGTGTAAAGAAGTAAAGAATTTGGATTTGCAGATACATTTTATTTTGTTCAAAAAACACACAATTTATAGATAGTCAGTCAATGTGGCAGTTAATAAATTCCTACTTTAGAAATAAAACCAGTCTGACTCCCAACCAAAACACAAACAGATTCTAAACAAGGCCTCACACCTAACATGCATTGCCTGATCTAAAATGTCACTTCTTCTTTACACTGATAAGATCTTTAGTTCTGTCAGGACCATGACTTGAAAGGAATTTGGGGATTTACATATACATACTAATCAATTAAAACCTTCTAACTGATTAAAGATTTAGCAGCATCTTAGGTTTGTTTAGTATATCCACATCAATGGTGTGAACCTTTGATCTTTTATAAATTTTTATAAATTCTGTGTCTGATGCCACCTCTCTCAGTAACACCTGAAGAAGGACTGAGGCTCCGAAAGTTTGTATTTTCAAATAAACCAGTCGGACTATAACCTGGTGTCATGCGATTTCTGACCTTGTCCATCTCATTCCAACACTGGCACCTCTACATCATATTTTTGATCATTCACTCAACCTATCTATATCCCCTTGCAGATTCCTTCTGTCCTCATCACAGCATGCTGTCCCACCTATTTTTATATCGTTAGTAAATTTGGATGCATTACACACTGCACTGTCCTGCAAATTATTAATATAAATATTAAATAAATTACATTCTAGGACTTATCCCTGTGGCATTCCACTAGTTAGGTCTTTCCAACCTGAAAAAGACTTTCTGTCTTCTGTGTGCTAACCAATCTTTAATCCATGTTAATACATTATCCCTATACCATGAACTCCTACCTTGTGCAATAACCTTTTATGTTGTGGAATGTGTATGTTGTAGAATGTTTATTGGCTGGCACTTGTGTGTTGTAAATGTTGCTTCACGTTTGTTGGCCCGAACTATTAATCCCAACCTGTTTAGTCTGTCAGGGGATACTCCGCAGGGACAGCAGCTGCCATGGGTCAACTGACTGGAAGTAGGAAGCCAATTACTTGGACTATATTAGCCATTTTGCCGCTGTTAGAACATCTCTGTCATTTGGGGAATCTGCCTGCAGCATCAAGGCAGTGTCCCAGAGGCTTTGTGGTTAGGGCCCTTCTTCCCAGAGGCTCCATGGCACAAGGAAAGATAACTTCCTTCCAGAAGCAGAGTTGCTAACCATGCTACTGGAGGTGGTCACGCCTCTGCTCACCAGGGTCTGCTCGTCTACCTGGCCCCAGTACAATGAAATATTTTATTGAATCTCCTTTGTGGATGCCTCAATTTGGAGCTGCCATTGCAGCCTTGTTCTCAGTTTTTTCACTGATTTTTATTACAGCGTGAGGATCTATAACCATGATAATTTTATTTTATTTTCTGTTTACTTTCTAAAACACTAATATATCCTACTTAACTCCTGCAGGCTTTACCTTCCACGGAAATTTTCTCAATGCAATATAGAGGATTACGAGGAATTTTTGAACAATGGTGGTGGTCACTGCCTCTTCAATAAGCCTACCCGCGTATGTATCAGGAATTGCATGCTTCAGTTTGCTGTGGTCCCTATTCGTTATCTCATCTTGTCCTAATAAAGTCTTAGTTATATATCATGTTATGCTATGTAGGCAATAATTTGATCTGTAAGCATTTCCTTACTTGTTTCAGTTCTCCCAGAAAACAGTAAAAGATACATAGAATTACAGTTATTTATATTTGAAGTTTGAGTGTCTGGTGGAATGGCTGTGTGAAGATATTATTGACCTTCAGTAGTGGCAGACCCAAGCAACAAGAAGGCTTGTGGATATTAGAAATGACACTGTGAGGAAACAATAAGGATGTTGCACTGTTCCTGTTTGACAAAACAGAGACTTTGAAGTAACCTATGAAAAGTATTAACATTAAGATTACATATAAATTATTTTTATGATGAGTTTTGAATCATGACAGACCAAAACTGAACTCTGGGAATAAAAAGGGAAGCTGATCAGAAGCTGATGAAAAGCCACTTGACCCAAAGGTGATCAGATTTGAGAATCAGTTAGCCGGAAGCCCATTGAGGTGAATGTGTGTAAATGGGTTCAAAGTATTTTTGGAGGAAGAGGAACTTGAGGAATATGCAGAAAAGGTTGTTTAATCTAGAAGAAAATATCGGGCCAATGAATTATAGTCTTTCCAGCTCCTTAAAATTTTTACTGCTGCATATTGCTTATGTAAGGTTTGGGGAACAAGGAACGGAAAAGGTTCTAGAGGGATACAACTTATCCAGGAAGGAGCTGAAGAAAGGGCTTAGGAGAGCTATAAGAGAGCATGAGAAAACCTTGGCGGATAGGATCAAGGAAAACGCCAAGGCTTTTTACACGTATGTGAGGAATAAGACAATGACCAGAGAAAGGGTAGGGCTGATTAAGGATTGTAAAGGGAATTTGTGCACGGAGCCTAAAGAGATAGGAGAGGTCCTTAATGAATACTTTTCTTCGGTATTCACAACTGAGAGGGACCTAATTGTAGAGGAGGACAGTGTGAAACAGGCTGGTAGGCTAGAGGAGGTTGCTATTAGTAAGGAAGATGTGCTAGGAATTTTGAGGAAGTTGAAGATAGATAAGTCCCCCTGGCCTGATGGGATTTATCCAAGGATTCTATGGGAAGCGATGCAAGAGATCGCAGGGCCTTTGGTGATGATCTTTTCATCGTCACTGTCCACGGGTATAGTGCCAGAAGATTGGAGAGAGGCAAACGTCATTCCCTTGTTCAAAAAAGGGAATAACGATAACCCTGGAAATTACAGCCCAGTTAGTCTTACGTCAATGGTGGGCAAATTATTGGAAAGGGCTCTGAGAGATAGGATTTATGATCACTTGGATAGGCACAGTTTGATTCGTGATAGTCAGCATGGATTTGTGAGAGGTAGATCATGCCTCACAAACCTTATTGAATTCTTTGAAGAGGTGACAAAACATGTGGATGAAGGTAGAGCAGTGGATGTGGTATACATGGATTTAAGTAAGGCGTTTGATAAGGTTCCCCATGGTAGGCTCATGCAGAAGGTAAGGAGGCATGGGATAGGGGGAAATGTGGCAGATTGGATTCAGAATTGGCTGACCCTTAGAAGACAAAGGGTGGTAGTGAACGGAAAATATTCAACATGGAGCTCAGTTACGAGTGGTGTACCACAAGGATCTGTTCTGGGTCTTCTTCTATTTGTGATTTTTGTAAATGATTTGGATGAAGGACTGGAAGGGTGGATTAGTAAGTTTGCGGACGATACGAAGGTGGGTCGAGTAGTGGAAAGTGTGGAGGGCTGTTCTAGGTTACAAAAGGACATTGATAGGATGCAGAGCTGGGCTGAGAAGTGGCAGATGGAGTTTAACCCTGAAAAGTGTGAGGTGATTCATTTTGGAAGGAAAAACTTGAAAGCAGAATACAGGGTTAACGGAAAAATTCTTGGCAGTGTGGAGGAGCAGAAGGATCTTGGGGTTCATGTCCACAGTTCCCTGAAAGCTGCCACCCAGGTGGATAGAGTTGTTAAGAAGGCGTATGGTGTGTTAGCTTTCATTAATAGAGGGATTGAGTTCAAGAGCCGTGAAGTTCAGCTCCAGCTAGACAAAAGCCTGGTTCGGCCACATCTGGAGTATTGTGTCTAGTTCTGGTCGCCTCATTACAGGAAAGATGTGGAAGCGTTGGAAAAGGTGTAGAGGAGATTTACCGGGATGTTGCCTGGAATGGAGGGAAGGTCTTACAAGGAAAGGTTGAGAGAGCTAGGGCTTTTCTCTTTAGAACGACGAAGGATGAGAGGTGACTTGATAGAGGTGTACAAAATGATCAGAGGTATAGATAGAGTAGACAGCCAGTGACATTTTCCTAGGGTGGAGGTAGCTATTACGAGGGGGCATAGTTTTAAAGTGAGTGGAGGTAGATCTAGGGGAGACGTCAGAGGTAGGTTCTTTACCCAGAGAGTGGTCGGGACGTGGAATGCGTTGCCAGAGCGGGTAGTGGAGTCGGCCTCATTAGGGGCATTTAAGCGGCTATTAGATAGGCATATGGATGATAGTATAAGGTATAAGATAGACCTTAGGATTAGGGTAAAAATTCAGCATAACATCGTGGGCCAAAGGGCCTGTACTGTGCTGTACTGTTCTATGTTCTATGTTCTACATTGAAAAGATTTATTGGGAATTTACAGTTCTGATGAATTTCTTTGTTGGAATTATTTACAGAAACCTCAAGAAGTGAAGCAGAAATGCCCAATACTTTAGAATTGTCATTTAAAAATTGCAAAAAATTTTCCTGCTAGGAACCCACCTGAAATCAAATCAGGAGAGCTAACTACTCTGAATTATTTCCGCAAAATTATTAATTCATGTTAAAAGTAGTAGAACGAGTAGCACTAAGGTACTTCACACATTGAGGAGGCAGTTTTGTCTGGTGCATCCAAGGTTTGATGTTATTTTCCCTACATGTTAAATTGTCCAGTACTTTGGAATAATTGGCAGGATTTCTGCTGCTATTTATAGTTAAATCTTCAAACGATGCAGTTTTGCAACATTAATGTCCAAATATAAATTCTTCCATTTGTATGGAACTAGGTGGGAGTCATTGACCCATTTGAATTACAGCATCATGGGTTAGTTCCAGCAGAGAAGAAAAGAGTTTAGTCTGTCATTTCAGTGTTAATTCTCTGAAGGTCTAATTCACCTAATGCCATTCTGCTGCCTGTAACGCTTCATTTTCAAATAATAATACAATCCCGTCTTTACTGTCTAGGTATGCCTGAAGTATACTCTCAGAAAGTGTGTTCCAGATGTTAACCATGTGCTGTGCAAAAAGGTTTTCCCACATTTTTGCAGTGTCATCTTTTGTCAATTACCTTTAATATTTTCTCTCTGATTCGCATTCCATCTACCAATGGGAAGAATCTCATCCTGTTTAAGCTTTTCAGACCATTTCTGACTTAACACTGATGCTGCAAATCCACACTAAAAGAGAAAAGTGATAGCACTGGAGAGGGTGCAAAGGAGATTTACCGGGATGTTGCCTGGTATGGAGAATTTCAGTTGCGAAGAGAGATTGGACAGTCTATGATTGTTTTCCTTGGAGCAGAAGAGACTGAGCAGAGACATAATTATGATGTGTAAAATTATGAGGGGCATAGACACAGTAGACGAGAAGAAACTTCTCTCCTTGGTGGAGAGATCAATGACCAGAGGGCTTAGATTTAAGGTAAGGGCCAGGAGGTTTAGACATGTATGGAAACATTTTTTTCATCCAGAGTGTGGTGGGGATCTGGAACACACTGCCTGCCAACATGGTAGAGGCAGAAACCCTCATAACATTGAAGAAGTATTTAGATGTACATTTCCAATGCCGAGGCAAATAAAAGGCTCCAGGTAAAATGCTGGAAAATGGGATTAGAATAGTTAGGTGTGTGTTTTTGACTGGCACAGAGTGAGCTGAAAGGTCTTTTTTCTGTGCTGTACACAGCTGTGACTCTAAAGAGTCCAGACCCAATTTCTCCAATCAATCCTCATTTCTGGACGTATTCTCATGAATCTTTTCTATACCTTCTCGAATGCATTCATATCCTTCTTACAGCGTGGTGCCCAGACCTGAATGAAATACTCAAGTTGAGGCCGAGCCAGTGTATGAAACAGATTTAACAAAACGTTCCTACTTTCCAAAGTAGCTGGGCATCACTGGTCCTCTCCTTATTTCTTCTGAGGGCAAGTGCCAGCATATGCTGCTGGCTGTGCTACCTCCACTTGCATATCTCCGATGTCTCACCAGGTAGTGCCACGGTGTGCAGTAGAGGTCAGTAAAATGTGCATGTCTGTGCTGGTGGAGAGTTCGCCTGAATAATGTGATAGTTTTTATTTTTGGATGGTGTGACATCATGTGAGTTCTCCAGGATGGATTAATCACTAATTTGTCCATCATCTAATGCTGGTCCTGGTGCAGATAAATAATTAAAGTGGTCCTACAACTAATGATTCTATTCTCTCCTTGCCAAGAAGCTTCCAACGGCCTGTCAGTACAGGCCTGTCTGTTTTCATGGACAGCTTGCTGAATTTCTAATCAAAATCGCAATCCAAATTTACCAATAGGAGGCAAAATCTGGAGTGTGATTACCGGTTCTCCAATGATCTGCTGGTCACTGTAGAGAGAGATTTATAGAGATCACTGACTACTTTGTCACCTGTATTTTATTTGTGGTCTGGGAAACCAAAAAATAAGCTTTATTGTTGCCGAAAGAAATATACAGTTTGTTGAAACTTTTAGTTTTGCACCTATCATGACATTAGAATATCAAGTGAAACATTTTTATACTTTATGGGAGGGCATGTTGATTGTTGGCAAGTGGATTCTGATTGGTAGAGGTATTTCTATGAAGAATGTTCCAGTTAGATGATAACTGACAGCTAACTACAAAAGCGTTGTTATATTTAAAACAGCCAGGTTGACACCAATTGGTCAAGGGATTGCCTTGATGATTGAACCAGAGAATGACTGTCCCCTATCTTTCTCATTTGGAACAGATTTTGGAGTCCATGGTGAAGGATGAGATTTCTGAATACTTGGAAGTGCATGGTAAAATAGGGCAAAGCAAGCACGGTTTCATCAAGGAGAGGTCTTGCCTGACAAATCTGTTAGAATTCTTTGAGGAAATAACGAGCAGATTAGACCAAGGAGAGCCAATGGATGTTATCTACCTTGACCTCCAGAAGGCCTTTGACAAGATGGCTGCTGAGTAAGATATGGGCCCATGGTGTTAGAGGCAAGGTACTCTCGTGGATAGAAGATTGGCTGTCTGGCAGAAAGCTGAGAGTGAGGGTAAAAGGATTTTTCTCAGGATGGCAGCCAGTGATTAGTGGTGTTCCACAAGGGTCAGTTTTGGAACCACAACTTCTCACTTTATACATTAATGATCTAGATGACGGAACTGAGGGCATTCTGGTTAAGTTTGTAGATGATACAAAGATAGGTGGAGGGACAAGTTGTATTGAGGAGGCAGGATGGCTGCAGAAGGATTTAGACAGGCTAGGAGAGTGGGCAAAGAAGTTGCAGATGGAATACTGTGTGGGAAAGTGTGAGGTCATGTATTTTGGTAGGAAGAGTAGTTTATTTTCCAAATGGGGAAACAATTCAGAAATCTGAAATTCAAAGGGACTTGGGAGTCCTAGTCCAGGATTTGCTTAAGGTAAACTTGAAGTCTTAGTCGGTAGTTAGGAAGGTAAATACAATGTTGGCATTTATTTTGAAAGAACTAGAATATAAAAGTAGGGATGTACTTCTGAGGTTTTATAAGGCTCTGGTCAGACCACATATAGAATATTGTGAGCAATTTTGGGTCCCATACCTCAGGAAGAATGTATTGGCCCTGGAGTGGGTCCAGAGGAGGTTCACAAGCATGTTCCCAGGAACAAAAAGCTTAACATATGAGGAATATTTGATGACTCTGGGTCTATACTCGATGGATTTTAAAAGGATGAGGGGGGATCTAATTGGAACTTACAGAATACTGAACGGCCTCGACAGAGTGCATGGTGGGAAGATGTTTCCATTGGCAGGAGAGACCATGACCCTAGGACGCAGCCTTAGAATAAAGGGAAGACCCTTTAGAATGGAGATGAGGAAAAACTTCTTCAGCCAGGGAGTGGTCAATCTACAGAATTCGTTGCCATGGAAGGCTGTGGAAGCCAGGTCATTGAGTATATTTAAGATAGCGATTGATAGGTTCTTGATTATCAAGGGGATCAAAGGTAGCAGGGAGAAAGCGGGGAAATGGGATTGAGAAACATATCAGCCATGGCTGAATGGCAGAGCAGACTTGAAAGGCCAAATGGCCTAATTTCTGCTCCTACGTCTTATGGTCTAACACACTCGGGGCGTGTGTGTGTGTCTGTGTGTGTGTTGTGGCAAAGAAAAGGGCAATGGGTATCAATATATGCAACTTCCAGTATGTACAAGTGAGCCATCGTACCAACCTGACTATGCTTGTTTCAATTGAATAATGTACACACAGGCATTCTTGACCAATCACAGTTAAGCTACCTGCATTTTTTAAAAAAAATACCTACACTTAAACTTTCAGTCATCATTTAACTGTGCATTCACCATGATGATTCCTTTAACACTTAAAGTTCATTTGCTAATCAATCAGCATATATATCTCGTAAAATTACTGCTACTGTTACTTTGGTATTCTTTTGAATTGTCCTTGAGAGTACATAAAAACAGAGAAACATAGAAGATAGGAGCAGAAGGAGACCGTTCGGCCCTTTGAGCCTGCTCTGCCATTCTTCACGAACATTGACTGATTGTCCAACTCAATAGTCTAATCCTGTTTTCTCCCCATAATGTTTGATCCCATTCGCCCCAAGTGCTATATCTAGTTGCTTCTTGAATACATTCAGTGCTTTGTCATCAACTACTTCCTGTGGTAATGAAATCCACAGGCTCACCACTCTTCGCATGAAGAAATGGCTCCTCATACTATGACCCCTGGTTCTGGACACACCCACCATAGGGATCATCCTCCCAGCATCTACCTTGTCCAGTCCTGTTAGAATTTTATAAGTCTGCATGAGATCTCCCCCCTCATTCATATGAACTCTAGCGAAAACAATCCCAACTAGTCAATCTGTCCTCATACATCAGTCCCGCCATCCCCAGAATCAGTCTGGTAAACAAGTGCAAGAGCATCCTTCCTCAGAAAAGGAGACCAAAACTGCTCACAATATTCCAGGCAGGGCTGAAAGCTTTGATAAACTGAGATAACAAGGTGTAGAGCTGGATGAACACAGCGGGCCAAGCAACATCAGAGGAGCAGGAAAGCTGACGTTTCCGGTCGAGACCCTTCTTCAGAAATGGTAAAGTTGATAAAATGAGATTTATTTTTCAGCAATGCTAAGTTCTGTACTACCAGAAAGAATTTTCCATAATTTCTAAAAAAAAAAATTACTTTTGTTAAAGATGAGAGAAGACTGTATGATGATGCAGATGGTAATTTCTGTTTGAAACAACGATCCAAACCCATTAAAATGAATGGGCTTCCATCAGCGCTACAGTCAATAATTCTTCAGTAAATAGAGTAAAATATTTAGTCTAGTCATGTTGATACAACTTGATGAGGAGACGCAGTGTGATTTTTAACAATTATGTTCTCTTATTAATGCAGCTTCTTGATCCTCCTGAGTGTGGCAATGGATTTGTAGAGGCAGGAGAAGAATGTGACTGTGGTTCAAAAGCTGTAAGTAACAATATTAGAACATGTTTCTACTTCATGGAACCTATCAGTCAATATAGTGAGTAACTAATTTTGAACTGAAACTTGAAATAAGGATTTATTAATGGAGGTTGAGTATTTGAAATCTTCCAAGCTAGTCCAATGATATCATTGATAGGGAATATTCCTATGCAAAACTGTTGTACAATAGGGAGAGTCAAAGTACAATATAGCAGTAGTAAAAGGGGACTTAATAGTTTAGGGGCACAGATAGGGGTTTTTGTGGCTGCAAAAGGGTCTCCAGCATGGTTTGTTGCCTCCCTGGTGCCAGGGTCAAGAATTTCTCCGAGCAGGCAAAGATTTTCTGGAGGGAGAGGGGAGCAACCATAGGTTGTGGTACATATTGATATTGATGACATAGGCAGAACAATGATGAGGTTCTGCAAAGGGCATTCAGGGAGTTAGGTAGGAAGGTGCAAAGCAGGATCTCTAGGGTTATAATCTCAGGATTAAATCTGTACCACGTGTCAGTGAGGCTAGGAATAGGAAGATAGTAACAAATAGACCCATCCGTGGCTGAAGAGCAGGTGTAGGAGGAAGGGCTTCAGGAATGTGGATCATTGGGATGGCTTCCAGAGCAGAAGGGGCTGTACAAGAAAGACAGGATGCACCCAAACTGGAGGGATACCAATATCCCTGGCAGAGAGATTTGATGGTGTCACTGGGAAGGGTTTAAAGTAGTGTGCAGGGGTTGGGAACCAGAGCAGTAGGTCAGCAAGTGAAATAACTGAGGAGGAAGTTAGAGGCTAAAGCTGGTAGGACTAAGCAGGAGACCACACATGGATAACCTACTGAACATGGTGAGACTGGTGGTCAGAAGTGGACTTTTTTTAACATGAAGAGTATGACAGGTGAGGCTGATGAAGCTATCTTGATTAGTGCATAAAACTATGATGCTGTAGTTGCTATAGAAACTTTGTTGAGAAGGGGGCAAAACTGACAGCTTAATGCTTCTGGATTTAGATGTTTAGTTGAGATAGACAGGGATGTAAAAGAAGTTGGGGAGTTGCGTTACTGATGAGTGAGAATATCACAACTGTACTGAGGGAGAACACCTTGAGGGCTCATCCAGCGAGGCCATATGGGTAGGGTGCAGGAATAGGGAGGGTGCTATCACTTTGATGGAATTGTATGGCAGGCCTCCCAACAGCCAGCTGGTGATAGAAGAACGGGTATGTGGACAAATTATGGAAAGTTGTAAAACAAAAAGAGTTCTTGTTGTGGGTGATTTTAACTTCCCCCATATTGGCTAGGACTCCCTTAGCGCTAGGGGTTTGGATGGAGTGTCTTTGAGGTGAGTCCACGAGGGTTTCTTGAAGCAATATCTAAACTGTCCAATTGGGAAGGGGCCACACTAGACCAGGTGCTGGGGAATGAGCCTGGCCAGTTGGTCGAAATTTCAGTGGGGGAGCATTTCAGGAACAGTGATCATAATTCTGTAAGTTTTAAGTAACTTTTGGATAAAGGGATTCTCAAGATTGCTTGTATGCCAGGAAAAACAGGGCTGCTTCAGCAACCCGAAACAAGTAACACATCCCACAATTGAAGAATGTATGGCACCCATTCTTCAAGTCCCCAACCTTGTGATATCTGACTCACCTCAGTCTTTATCTCCACCACCTCCTGATGCCTAACTAACCTCTACTCTCCAATTCTGACCTTTCCACATCCACCCTGTAACTCCCCTTACCAGATCTCCAACAACCCCATCTCCCCAAACTCAATGTCTCCCAACTCACCAGTGACCTACTGCACAGCCACTAATTCCACCCTCTTCCCAAATCCCTGCTCCTCAATCTCCTACTTATGTGGAATCCTATGACGTATTCCTTTCCTGCCTGACAGGCAAATAACCTGACGTTCAGTTTGGCTCTGAACTAACAAACATGCTCAAACAAATTACAAATACCTTGTGAATAATTTTAGTGGGACATTGGAGGAACCTGTACTTCCAAGCTTATAGTGGTATAGAACTTGAATGTTGCAGAAAAAGTACATTTTGTCAAAGTTTTTTTTTGTCTTACATGCATAAGGATAATTCACAAGGAATGCCAAAGTAAAGAGAAAACACCAAACATACCATAAGAAAGTGTTGATTGGTTCACAAGTAGATTCTGACTGCCACCACATTGCCATGGAGAATGAACCAGTTAATGACAACTGACGGTTAAATGCAAAGCTTTGTTTAAGTTGTAGGTGTCACCTATTTTGTTGCATTGTAACAGTTGCATGTAGATATTCTTTCTGACTATAAAGAATAGGTCCCTACATATATCAGTACATGCAAGTGAGCCATTCTGTGAACCTGACATACAATCCTAAATTGGTTATCAGCATAGCGTTACATACAGCCAGGATTATCCAGCAAATATTGTCCAACTTTGAAAACAAATTAAATGTTGTACAGTGAGAGATAGCAAGAACTGCCGATGCTGGAGTCAGAGATAACACAGTGTGGAGCTGGAGGAACACAGCGGGCCAGGCAGCATCAGAGGAGCAGGAAAGTTGACATTTCAGGTTGGGACCCTTCTTCAGAAATGGAGAGGGGGAAGGGAGCTCTGAAATAAATAGAGAGAGGAGGGGTGGGGCTGGGGCAAGTAGGTGGGATGGTGGTAGGTGAGTGCACCTAGGGGGAGGCGATGGTCAAGTGGTATTATCACTGGACTGTTAATCCAGAGACCAGGATAACATTCCGGGGACCCAGGTTCGAATCTCACCATGGCTGATGGTGAAATTTGAATTCAATAAAAGTATCTGAAATTAAGAGTCTAATGATGACCATGAACCCATTGCCGATTGTCAGGAAAAACCAGTCTGGTTCACTAATGTCCTTTAGGGAAGGAAACTGGCATCCTTACCTGGTCTGGCCTACATGTGACTCCAGACCCACAGCAATGTGGTTGACTCTTAAATGCCCTCTGGGCAATTAGGGATGGGCAATAAATGCTGCCTAGCCAGCAATGCCCTCATCCCATGAATGAATAAAGGAAAAAAAAGGTAGGGAGTGGAGGGGATTAGTCACTGAGGTAGGAGGGGTGGATAGGTGGGAGAGAAGATGGACAGGTTGTGTCAGGTCAAGGAGGTGGGGATGAGAGGAAGGATTTGACATGGGATGAGGCTGGAGGTGGGGAGATTTTAAAACTGGTGAATTCCACATTTAGGCTATCCGGCTGTACGCTCTCAAGGCGGAATATGAGGTGCTGCTCCTCCAATTTGCGGGTGGTGTCATTGTGACTGGAGGAGGCCCAGGATGGACATGTCACCCAGGGAGTGGGAGGGGGAGGTAAAATGGTTTGCGACCGGAAGGTGTTGTCGTTTGTTGTGTACAGAGTGCAGATGCTCTACAAAACAGTCTCCGAATCTATGCGTGGTCTCACCGATGTAGAGGAGGCCACATCGGAAGCAGCGGATGCAGTTGACCAAGTTGACGGGTGTGCAGGTGAACTCCTATCTAATGTGGAAGGTTTGTTTTGTGCCTTGAATGGAGGTAAGGGGGGAGATGTAGGGGCAGGTATAATACTTCCTGCGGTTGCAGGGAAAGGTGCCGGGGTGGGGTGGTGGTGTTAGTGGTGAGTGTGGAGTGGACAAGGGAGTTGCGGAGAGAGCGGTCCCTATGAAAGCCAGATAGGGCTGGGGAGGGAAATGTGTCTTTGGTTGTGGGGTCGGATTGTAGGTGGCGGAAGTGGCGGAGAACGATACATTGGATGCGGAGATTGGTGGGGTGATATGTGAGGACAAAGGGGATTCTGTCTTCATTTTTGTTGGGGGGAGGGGATGTGAGGGCAGAAGTGCGGGAAACGCAAGAGATGTGGTTGAGGGCATTTTTGATCACCAGAGGGGGGATGTTACAGTCCTTGAAGCAGGAGGACATCTGGGATGTTCGGGAGTAGAACGCCCATCTTTGGAGCAGACGCGGAGGAGGCGGAGGAATTGGGAGTAGGGGATCACACTCTTGCAGGAAGTTGGGTGAGAGGAGATGTAGTCTAGGTAGCTGTCGGAGTTGGTGGGCTTGAAGTAGGAACAGTGTTGTGAGTTTTGCAAGTGACTGTCTGGATACAACCAATAACTTTCTTGTTGTAAACGGTGGAAGGGATATGCTGCTTAATATGATTCATTGATTTTTGGGACTGTAGTTTACTTACCTAACATCACACTGACAGTGAAATTCATATACTACATGACTCATTTGTATGCTAGGCAGAATGTGTCTTTGGCTTGACAATAGCATTCTGCGAGACGTGCACAGTGCTTGTGTCATAACTGGCTACAGCAGCGTGAAACAGCTAGATTCACTTGTTGCTAAAAATTAATACACAGGATCCAAGTGACAACATTTTATCGGTTCATTTCTTGGGGCAATGGCATAACAATCAAAGTCTATCTACCTTGTTTAAAATTCACGCGAAGTTTGGCAATTGACAGGCTGCCATCATTTTCATCATCAATGTCCAATTTCCAATCAATCAACACCTTCCTCACATATTTGTCAAATCCTGCTTTTCTCTTTACTTTGGTATTTCTTGCAGATTGCTTTGATAAGTGCAAGACAAAAATCTTTGACAAATGTGCTTTTTTCAGTAATACCTCCATACTTCCTGTACAAAGATCCTTTGACCCTCCCCCCACATATTAAGGGCAGTGTCCCCATGAACTTTACAACAATGACATCAAGGGAAACAAACTTTGGCTAAAAACATTTTGAGGATCTTGTTCTTGTCACTTTATTAAAACAGAGCTGGTACAGTCAGAAACTTGTAACAAGAGCTACAGAATCAACTACAGTTTCTGACTTTTGTATAAGACATATCATTAACTACTACATTAACATTTTGTCCTATCCATCTCTTCCTTTCTCTTCACTTTTGTCAATTATTCCCTTGCCAGGAGTAACAGGATCTCCTGGCATGGTAATCTTAGATGCTGAATCATCTAGTGTTAGGCTCCCCACCATGGGTTCACTCCATGTGATGTGGGTTACTGTGACACCAGCACTGGACAAGTCAGATCCATAGCGGAACCTGACTTGATGCACTGTCATTTTTATTTTTCTTTATGTTTACCCTGGAGATTCATTTATGAACAAATTTACAAGAAGCTGTACTTTTAACAAAAGAACATTATTATACAAAAGAAAACATAACTATGTTGTGATTGAAATTTATTGATAGCGTCTGAAAAAACAATTTCACTGAATCAGTAATTATTAATCAGTATTCCGGGTAATATATTCTAGATATCTTGTCCAATTATAGTGTAACTAATTGCATATTTGATTAGTCAATAATTGTGATCTTAGCCTCATGGTTTTGCTACTCAAGTACATAGCATAGATATGTCTATTTTAATTTTACTATATGTTTGTTAATAAAAGTGTCAGACAGAAAGCTGAGTGTGTGTGTTCTTTGATAAATGTACAAACCAGAACAAGACCATGTCCCTCAGCCCTTTGAGCCTACTTCACTGTTCAAAAAAATCATGTTTGATCTGATTTTAACCTCAGTTCTACATTCCTGCATATCCCTTATAATCTTTCATTCAATTCATCATGACAGAGAAAGGTTAATGAAAGTGAATGATTGAAAAGTTTCATATTGAATCATGATATATGCTGGTTAAACAACTACAGATTTAAAGTACATTTCTTTCTGTATTGTGTAGATGGTATTTTCAAATAAAATCAGAGCAGCTAGCAAAAACTGATGTAATTGTTGCTACACCCATGGGTTGTCAGTGATTTCTACTGGACAGTACTGGTCTGTTACATTGCATAAAATACTCACCCTGAATAATAATTATTGATAGGTATGTATTTACAAATTCTGTTTAAATTGCCAAGGCATAATGCAAAATTAATTCATATCTGCACAGGAATGTAGCAAGGAGGGAGAAAACTGCTGTATAAAGTGCACTCTCATGAAAGGAGCCAAATGCAGCAATGGGCTTTGTTGTAAAGAATGTCAGGTAAAAGATTTTATGCCAATGATTATGTGATTATCTGTTGGTTAAAATGGCTTTAATAGCCCAAATTTACTTATGGCAATTAGGGATGGGTGATAAATGCTAGTGACTTTCATCATCTGTCTGAGTATTTAACGTCAATAGGAAGTCCTCCTATTTGCATAAATTCCCAAACGTTATGCAGATAAGGAGTATACCTTCCCTTAGATGCTCTGAAAAATAGTGTACAACTGAAGAGCCATGCCAGACTCAAAACATCAATATTGTTTCTCTCTCCGCAGATTTTGCTCGACCCACTGAATTTCTCCAGCATTCTCCATGTTTAATTCAGATTTCCAGTGTCCAGAGAATTTTGTCTTTAAGCAAACAATGCAAATGGATTTACATCCCTTAAAGTTAAACAGATCAAGGATGCTTAACTCAGCAAACATATCAGTCGCAGTGGGAGAACAATCAGCTAGTATTTTATTTTATCAAGATATAAGATTGTCTTCTTGGTTTTCAATGAACGAAGTTCCTATTTGTAAAACATGAGAGCCTAATATAAGTAAATCTGTCACACAAGTTTAATCATTATTCTTAGTTGCTTATTCGAAAGATATTTTTGTAAAACTATTGATTTTGAATCCTTGTTTGTTTAAGTGTTCAGGTGCAACTACTTTGAGTTAATTGAGTGCCTTTATGATGAGCACTGTTACTGTTTGAAAGCACACGTGCAGATGCAGGCAGGTTATTTGAATAAAGATCCAGCTGCAATGAGATGCAAAGGTTAGCACATGACAGTTGTGCTTGTTTACAGCTAAAGTAAATTCACTTTTTCGTAGTTTCATTATTTTCTGTAGGTAATAGAGTTAGTTTTAGTATTGAAATCTTTTCAATGTATTAATTTGGTATTCCTCATTCAAACTACAAGTAAGCCCCAATAAGTACCAGGTTTAGACAAGTCATGATTCTAATCCATTTATATTCACTGAGATGTTTTCAAAAACAAGCTCACTCTGGACTAGCTGCTTTGATCTAAATTAGAGAGGTTCCCCACAAATGCTTAATACATTTAATGGTGTTCTGAAGAAGGGTCACTGGACCTGAAACATTAACTCTGATTTCTTTCCACATATGTACCCAGACCTGCTGAATTTCTCCAGCAATTTCTGTTTTTTTCTTTCAGATTTCCAGCATCCACAGTTGTTTGGTTTTTTTGTTTAGATTTGATGCCTTACCTGGACATGAATATGCAATTAGCAGAGAAAAACATAACTGCGTGAGAAAACCTGACACAACCCAAGCAGAAATATCTCCTGCGTTTTGGCCTGCTTCCATATTTTGTCTCAAAATCTCAGGATTCTGTCCTTATTTTGTGAACATTGTTAATTTAACATTACATTTCTCAACATGCAAAAAATGACCCTTGTCTAATTAAAATTCAAACTTTGACTATCATTTGTTCCTCTTGCAGTTTCAACGAAATGGCTTTGTGTGTCGTGAGGAAGTAAATGATTGTGACATTCCCGAGACCTGCACTGGAAATTCTAGTGAGGTGATTTCTTATCATGTATTTAATGTAAAATATATATTACAAAATGCCCTTAACATTAAAAGGAAAAGAAACTTGCATTTATCAGCAACTTTCGCAACCTCAGGACTTTGCAAAGTGTTTTATAGCCATTGAGTTGCTTATAAGATATAGTCACTGTTATAATGTAGGAAACCTGATAACCAGTTTGAGGACAGCATGTTGTAACAAGCAGAAAAGTGATAATGAGCAAGGTAACCTTTTTGTGATATGGATTGAGGGATAAATACTGACCAGGACATCGGAGATAACTCCCCTCTTCTTCCTTGGGAACAGTGCCAATGGGATTTTACATGTCCAATTAAGAGAACAGCCAAGTTACAGTTTAACAGTGACCTTATCTATAGCAGTGTAGCACCCAGTCATTACTGCAGTGGAGTGTCAGCCTAGGTTATTGTGCTCCTCATTTGGGCTGGCAGTTGAACCTACATCTTTTTACATTTTTCAAATATCAATGTGTGAATTCTTAACATATTTCGATCAACTTTGGATGTCAATATGTTAGTATAGTAAGAGCAGAGTTTTACACAAAAAAAAATGAACTAGTTGAATAGTGATGTTCAAAGATCTTAGTTCAATGGTATTTTTGTCTGTGATACCCTGAGTAGATCAATGATTTTGTAATATTCTGGGCAGTCTATTATATTTGTGATTGATGTACATAATTCCATGAGCCAACTAAGTGACTGCATTAATGTAGGTGAACTCAATTTTTTTTAATTGTATAACTTTTATTTGTCTTCCTCATGTGATTCATGCACAACATTAACAAGTGTAATGTGTATAAATCCAGATCACTTGGTCACATCTGTTGGAGTACTTTCAGAAAGTAACACATGCTGTAGATAAAAGGGAACCAGTGAATGTATTCTACTTAGATTTGAAAACTGCATTTGATAAGGTAGCATGTCAAAGATTATTGTGGAGTATAAAAGCTCATAGTTCTGGGGGTGTAGAATTTTGGCCTGGATAGAAGATTGGCTGGTTAATATGAAGTGGAGTATAAGTGTAAATGGGTCTATTTGGCAGGTTGACAGGATGTTATGAGAACTGTGCCACAGGAATTGGTGCTGGGACCTCGACTGTTCACCATTGATAAAGGTGACACAGATGAAGGACGGAAGTATGGTTGCCAAAGTAATTTCTGAAGAGGACACATGGCGGCTACAAAAGGTTATGAGTAGTTGAAGTGCCTGGGCAAAGATGTGGCAAATGGAGTATGATGTGGTAAAATATGAAATTGTCTATTTTGGCCTGTGGTGAGAGATTGCAGAACTCTGAGATGCAGAGGGATCTGGGTGTCCTAGTGGTTGAATCACAGAAGGTTAGTATGCAGATACAGTAAGTAATTAAGAAAGCTAATAGAATGTTATCATTTATTGCAAGCGGAACAGAATGCAAAAGGTGATGGATTATGCTTCAGTTACAGAGACAGATACGGTTAAATGGAATCCACATCCCTAGCCACCACATAGTAAGATAAATCCTCATCACAGAGATGTGGATTCCATTTAACTGTAACTGTTCTTTGTTCTTAACACTGGTGAGAAGGCATCTACACTGCACAGTATTAGTTACTTTAATTAAGGAAGGATATAAATGCATTTTTCGTAAATGCAGTGTCAGTTTAGAGAAGGTTCATTCGAGTATATTGAGCTGTTTGTCTTAGGAGAAAAGGTTGAGCAGACTACATTTGTAGCTGCTAGTGGTTAGAAAAGTAGGAGGTAACTTATTTGAGGCATATAAATTGTCAGGGCTCTTGCTAGAGTAAATATGGAGAAGATGATTCCTCTTATGGGAGAATCTAGAACTAGGTGTCACTGTTTAAATCAGGGTCATCGGGATGAACTTTTTTCATTCAGAGGCTCATAAGTCTTAGAAACTCTCTTCCTGAAAAGGTGGTGGGAGCAGTGTCCTTGATTATATTCTAAACAAGTGTCAATAGATTCTTGTTAAGCATGGTGGCGTAACCTTCTCACTGTTGGCAGGAAAGTGGATTTGAGGTGCCAATCAGATCAGCCATGATCTTACTAAGTGGCACAGCAGGCTTGAGGGGCTGAATGGCCTCCCACTGCTTCTAATTTATATGTCATCCCTGGAAATACTTTGTGTCATCGCTCTAACCTTGTTCTTCTTTTCTAAAGTGTCCACCAAACGTGCATAAAATGGATGGCTACGTCTGTGACAATGATCAGGTACATACTGGAGTTTGACTTCTCCTTTAGCAAATTAGATTTCTCTCTAAAAGGTTATCTTCTCAGGACTTATCTCACTCCATTTCTTTCAGGGACTTTGCTATGGTGGGCGATGTAAAACCAGAGAACGACAATGTAAATACGTGTGGGGAGAGAGTAAGTATAATATCTACATTGTAAGCAAAGCCTTTCATCTTTTGTTTATTCATCCATCCAGATTTTGACTTTTTATTTGCAGCTTTTATGTCAGTACGTTGACTTGTACTGCATGAATTGTCTAATTGGGAAACAAATCATATTCTGTATGCAGTCACTTTTCACCTTTCACATTGGAATTTATCATTTTACTTGTATGTCTTTCAAAGCGTGCAATATTTAAATTTATTTATGAGCATTTATTATTCCATCGTCTTTACAGGGCTGCCCCTAGAAGCACATGGGCCCACAAGGATAATGATGGAAACAATCCAAAAGCACTTTTAAAACTGGAGATATCACTCTTTAGAATGGGAATTTTCAAAGGAGTTTTCTCTCATTCATTTCTGAGATGTGGGCATCACTGACCAGGCCAGCATTTATTGCCTATTCCTGATTGTTCTGGTGGACGTGGTTTGTGAGTTGTTTTCTTGAATCTCAGCAGTCCTTGCTGTATGGAGACACCCACATTGCTGTTAAGAAAGAAGTTCCAGGATTTTCACCCAGTGACAGTGATGGAATGGCACTTCAGTTCCACGTCAGGATAGTGTGTGGTTTGGAGAGGAGTGTGAAGGTGGTGTTGTCCCCATGTATCTGCTGCCTTTGTGCTCCTCAGTGGCCCACCTGAGAACAGGGTACGGGTGAGCAGTGTTGTGTAATGGCATCAGGCCTGAAAGGGTTAATACCAGCGAGTGCATTAATCACTGCCCAATATTATTTTAAAGGACTCGGAAGAGAGAACACCTTTGGTTTTCAAAGGAGTAAGACCTAACATCAAATTCTTCCTTGTAGTCTCGGTAACAATGTCTATCAAGCCAATATAAGCTGTATCTAGTTGCTGTCATTCAATAGACTACACTTTGTTTAAGACAAGAGCCTTTTCTCATTACATTACCCAAGTGGTTTCCCTGCACCACTCTAGACTTGTCAATCCTTACTAGGAAAGAGGATAGTGGTGGTAGCAAAGTCTACCAATAAAAGCTAAATACTGCATGTACTCAAGATCTGAAATAAAAACAGAAAATGCTGCAGAATCTCATCAGATCTGGCAGCATTTCTGGAAATAGAGAAACAGAATTAACATTTCAAGTCCAAAGCTTCTTTGAAACTGAAGAATTGCTTTGAAGAAGAGTCTTTGGACTCGAAACGTGAACTCTGTTTCTCTCTCCACAGATTCTGCTAGCGGCGTTGAATTTCTCCTTACACTATGAGGAGCTGTGATGAGGATTTATCTTACTGTGTGGTGGCTAGGGATGTGGATTCCATTTAACTGCTACCTGCAAAAAGGTGGCATTCATAGAGATCTGAATCTTTCTTCAGAGCCACAGCTTGAGGATGGCTGCTTGTACACTTGGCAGCCAGAAGAACTGAACATTCGAGAACCCTGGAGAAGAGAAACTTGCAGCAAGTTTCAACAATGCAGAGTCTACAGACCTTGATAGAAAGCATTTCAGACCTGGTAAGAGATGTGTAGCAGAGTGTGAGCTAGGAACTCCATGAATCTGGAACACTAGTCATAGCAAGACAGTTACAGACTGCATTGGATGCTGATAATCTGTAGGAGTGATCCTCAACCAAGGTTCGGCTGGTGACCAAATGGACTTTGGAGACTCTGTGAATAAAGTTGAAATCCCTAATAGGATAAAAGCTGGTGAAGCTCCATAAGTTAGAAGTAAGCAAAGTACTTATAGCTCAGATAGCATTGCTGCCATAAGTGAGTTGTCACCATGAGTCATGGCTGCAGGAAGGGAAGTAATTTAAAATGAGATTGCAGAGTTTTATTGTCATCAAGATGGTGGTGGTGGAGTAGGGCTCCTGAGCTGGAGCTCATCCAGTCCAACTGGTTTTCTTCTTTCTGTTGCTTTTTATTCTTCTCCTTTCCTTTACTTACTTATTGTCCTTAGCTCAGAAGGCATCGGCAGCGGTGCGTGAGCCTAGCGTGGACTCAGGTTAGCCCCTACTTACTTTTCCCGGGTGAGCACAGGATCTGGCATTGGAATTGGTGGCAGCTACATCAGCGGAGGCAACAACAGTGAGGTAGGCCCAGTGAAAGTTGACACCGGAGGATCAGCAACTTTGTCTTTAGTTGAGTCCAGCGCTGATGGCGGAAGGGCTTCACAGTGACATTGACAAGAATGGACCCAGCAGCAAGAGATGCAACTCTGATGTTGGTGGGCCCAGCGCAGGCAGAAGCGAAGCGGTGGTAAAGGAGTATTGGCCCCACAGCAAAAGATGGTGCCTGAAGAGTGGCAACTTCAACTTTGGTTGGGTCTGGTGTAGACGGTGGTGAGGTGGTGGAGGAGGGATGGCGGCACAGATGTCGTTGATGATGAGCTGGCTCAGGACTGATGGACTGTCTTTAAGCGATATCTTTCTTTTCATCTCCTATTCTTAAGATTAATCAAAATCGCACTAGATCATGGCAACAGTAGAAAAGCTTTTTCTCCATATTTTACTGTTTTTCTCCCTGTAAAATACCCATGACAATAAAATCATTCATTCATTCAGACCTGTGAAAATTACAATGCCAGAAGTAAAGTGACAAACACCAAATTAGAAACCTAAGCAAATGAAGGTATAGTCACCACAATCCTACCAGATCATAGGGCTGCTTTCCTATTAGAGAGAGATGGCTGGTGGTGGTTTAACCTGAGGGCCACCACACCTCCAGGCACTGGGAGAGGCTGAGAAGGAGAATCCTTCATGACAATCTCAACACTTGCAAGAATTGAACCCACACTGTTGGCATCGGTCTGCATTGCAAACCACCCATCCAGCCAACTGAGCTGACCAACTTTCATAAAAAAAAACCTCCTGTAGAAGAAAAGAATTGGGAGACTATTGAGGCTGCAGCAAAGGTGGGACGTCCATTATTTAACGAGCGATGCAGACAGTGGAACTCACCCAGGCTAAAAAACGTGAGAAGCAATGGTGATTATTAGTAACACTGTATCTAGCAGGAATTATCTACAAAAAAACCTGATAAAGGAACAGGATTCATCTTGTAGAGCCATGAAGCGTGGGATTCATTCAGTAAAGCCTTTAAGGAATAGGAATTGGTTGTTAATTTTGTAGGCAATGAAATTCAATTAGTGAAACTATTAAGGAAACAATAACAGGTAGTGAGACTCATTCGAATAGGCCATATCAAAGGCAGGAGTCCTCCATTTGACTCGCAAAAAATGTGAGAAAAGCCTTCAGCACAGCAGTACATAGTTGTAGTATTGTTATATTACAGAACTCAAAGCCTTTAAAGCAAGAAAAATAAATAATCATGGTAGGAAGATATGGCAGCAGAAATAATATTGCCAGGAAGATTTAATTTCAAAGATGGATCAACTAAAACACAGAATTGAATATCTTGGAGAATGCAGTTGTTGATAAATATAATTCCTTCTAAACTAGATAAAATCAGAAGATGAACAAGTTAGTACATTTTCACTTTCTATTGAGACCACATTGGATGAGATTATAGCCTATCAAAGGATAAAAGAACATAAAAAATGCAAATAATTACTAAAAGATTTATAAGGATGGAAAAGCTAAGGTACAAGAGAAAGGCAAAATATAAAACACATAGGAGAAGTTTCTTCAAATATTTTTAAAATGTAGAGTTAACAAAGTAAGTGTAGGTCCCAGAGAAAATGAGTCTGGGGACTTAGCAATGAACAGTATGGTGTGGCAGATGAATTGAACAGATATTTTGCATCAGTCTTCACTAGAAATGATAAAAGTAGCTTTTTCATAATTTCAAAGTAAACTTCATACATATCAAATATCTTTATATACATACACACAGTCCTAACGCAGTTCGGTTCTGCGCAGCAGCATATCAAGGAAACAAATATTGAAGTTTGACTCTATCCAAACAAACCAAAGGCATCTCTTACTTGAACTAATATGTATTTACATGCATTTGAGGCACCAGGAATGTCCAGTAACTGAACAGACCCCCATCTAACTTCAGCAGGAAGATCTCAGACAGTGGTCTTTCCCTATTGCAACTTGGCGGCAGCTGCACCAACCTTTAGTGCCAGAGATATTCCCAAAGTAACTGTAAATTAGGATTTGAAAGGGACTGAGGAACTAAAAAAATTTACAATTACCAGGGAAGTAGTACTAAGTAAATTGTTGGAACTGCGAGTTGACAAGTTGCCAGATCCTGATGTGTTTCACCTGAAGAGGTCTTAGAAGAAGTAGCCGGTGAAATAGTTGATGTATTGGATTTAATTTTCCAAAAATCATTGAATTCAGAGAAGGTTCCTTTAGATTAGAAAATAGCGAATTTAATTTCTTTATTCAAATAGGGAAGTGGTAGAAAGCAGGAAGCTACAGGGCAGTTAGCTTAATATCTGCTATAGGGGAAATGTTAAAAGCTATTATAAAAGACATTATAACAAGGCTCTTGGATAATTTAAGGCCATAAAATGTTGTAGCTAAGGTAAGCCATTCTATGCATCACGTCTGTTCCACCATTCCATGAGATCATGGCTGACCAGATAATCCTCAACTCCATTTTCCTGTCTTTTCCCAATAGCCCTTTGATTTCCTTACAGATTAAAATTCTGTCTATCTCAGCCTTGGATATACTTAATGACACAACCTGAACAGCCATCTGTGTTAAAAAGAATCACTATCCTCAGAAAAAAAATTCCACTTCATCTCTGCATAAAATTTGTGACTCCTTATTCTGAATTATGCCCTCTGGGCCCAAATTTTCCCAAAAGCTAAGTAAGGAAAGTTTAAGGTAATCAGGAAAGAACAACATATGTTTTTCAAGAGGAAATTATGTTTAACTAATTTATTGGAGATCTTTAAAGAAGTAACTCATGCTGTTGATAGCAAGGAACCGGTGGATCTATTGTACTTAGATTTCTAAAAGGCACTTGATATCAAATGCGAGGGGAATTGAATGCAAAAGTAGGAAGGTTATGCGCATTAACCTTCTGTGATTCATGTGC